AAAAAAAAAAAAAAAAAAAAAAAAAAAAAAAACAGTCATAAACTTCTAGAACAGAACTAGACCTTGGAAATAAGTTTTCAAGCAGAGGAAAGTCAATGACTTATCTCTGTGCAGACAACCACCCCAAGCTGGAAATAGCTTTGATTACATAAGGAGGGACTGACAGAACCCAATCTTCATGTACCATTTGGTGGCATTGTCACTGGAGGCAACATCTCTCACCTCGTTCCGTAACTGCATCCTACTCTCCATTGGTGCGGAGGCCTCGTCCCTTGGTGGGAGCTGCCATGACTCATAGAACACAGGTTTGGGGAACCCACTGCCAACTCCTCCTCTCCTGTTAAGGTAGCTGTCTAAGGCAGGAGTGGCAGTCAACACTCAGGAGGCTGCGAAGCGGGAGTTTTTGTGGGGCTCAGTGCCAGCCCAGTCTTCAAAACCGGGTCCCACGTCAAACTACTGTAAAAACCACTTGCATTGCAGTTTCCAGATGGAAAAACGTAAGCATTGTTTCAAGTGTTAGTGAAGGATTTTTTTTTTCCCCCTGTGGCCTCGAACTCACAGAGATCCACCTGGCTCTGCCTCCCCGGTGCTGGGATTAAAGGAATGTGCCACCACCGCCTGGCCAGTGAAGGAGTTTTGTTGTTCAAAGCAGGTAAAGCAGTTCTATATGTACCAAGATTTCAAGTGTTAAGTAACTTAAAGCTCTCCTGGAAATCCTATTATTGTCACTGTATTATGTGATTATTGATAAGCAGTCTGTTCCATGTCTATAGGAGCATATGATCACAATTTAATTCTATTTTTTAAATCTCACATATTCAGTTTTATTATCCTAAAACAACTTAAATTTTGCCAAATCAGACATTGTCACCCACAGCACAGCACTAAAATTTTACACTACTTAAATGTAGACAACTAAAACATAGTGCATCGTAAAATAAAGGATCAGCCTTAGGTACTAAACACAAATCATAAAAATGTTCCTAGTTCCTACACGGGCCTAACCTGATTACATTGTAGTAAGTATACATATGAATGTACTTAACTGTGGCTAAATTTAACAAAAAACACACAATCAACTGAAAATTAGAAATTATAGTTAATACATAAATAATGATAGTTTTAAAAGTGGGCCATAAAACTATTGAAGTGAGAAATGTGTATGTGTATGCATTTATGTATTTGTATACATAATATGTGTGGGTGTGTATCTTTATACAAATATGTGTGTTTATATCTATATATCTGTGTGTGTGTGTGTGTGTGTGTGTGTGCGTGTGTGTTTATGTGTGTTCAATACCAAGTAATGGAAATGAAAATCAAACTTCTATACTGTGCTGGAAAAGGAACAGAAGAATGAGTTCACAAATAAAGCAGAACTAGGGAAAAAAAACTGTCTCCTTTACCTCCCTTTACAATAGGTGCATTTCCTCCTGCTAGTGACCTGAGGGTACATTACAGCGCTATGGCATATAGGAGCTTGAAATTTTTAGAGATGACACTGAATAACTCCCCCTGCTGTGCGGTGTTGTTGACACAGATTGGTCATCTATCACCGGAAGGGCAGAGTTCATCCCTTCCGCCAGTGAGAAAAAGTATATCCGCCAGTTCAGTGAGAATTATGAATGACAAGAAATGCTGAGCTTTGTGAACTACAGCCTAATTGCTGTCATTAGAGACAAAATAGACTACTATGACTGACTGGATCCCGGTATAAATATGACTCAGATATAGTGTACAGGGAATTAACCCAGCATCATAGAAAAGGTGGTTTTATTTTAAAAGTTGCATCTGTTACTATGGTGTGGGGGACACACATGTTCTCCTGCACATGTGTGGAGGTCAGGAGACAGTTTTGTGGAGTAGGCTCTCTTTCTTCCCTTTACTTGGGTTCCAGGGTCAAGCTCAGGTTCTCTGGCTTGTGCTGTGACTGCCTTAACCTGCTGAACCATCTCAACACTGCCTCCCCCTTTAAGTATTCATACTTATTTTTTTTATTTTATTTTATGTTTTCTGTAGCAAAATTGCCACTCCAGGCGTGGTGAGCATCCAGGCTCGTTTTCAAGGACTAGAGTGGTTCCTGTAGCATGAGACTTCCAGGGACTCGGCATACGAAATGCACGGGCAAACCAGGGTGTCTTGGTTGTTTCCCCTGCAAGCAGTAATGATCAATTGTTGCTGGTCTACAGAGTGTGTATTCAATGGCAGTGACGTTTAGTTTGTTCTTGCTCATCTCTGAGATCTAAAGTCTACTCATATTTCAAGATTCAGCTCAAATGCCACTTCTTAAGCAGCTCGAAGTAATCTCTTCCTCTTTGGAGTGTTCATACAGTGTTTTATCTGTGCCGTTCTTCTTCCACTTAGAGCTTTGAAAACCCCTTATCAGTTATCTCTGTACACATTTTATCTCTGACACTACATGGAAAGTTCTTCAGTGTATGGTATTTCATTTTATCATTTATCCCTCTGACGGCTTCATAGTGATCCTCACTTTATCAGAAATGATTTATTACGAGGAATGAGTGAGTCTACAGTTGAAATAGATTACATCAATAGTACGAGATATACCAATATGCAGTGCATGGAAAACTCCAGTAATAATGGGACTCAGAAAACCTAGCTTTTCTTTCTCTCTGTCACTGTGTGATTTGTGGATGCTTCCCTTCATACTGTTCATTTCTGTGTATGGATGCTTTACTTTCTTCAGATGGATGTATAGAATTCCAGCTAACTTCTGAGTGGTACCTAACTGTGCTTTTATTCACATCAACTTGCTCATACAGTGTGTCCGAGAACCAAACTTTGATTTTCTCCGTCAGCTGCACCATGCAACTCCTTTTCCATTCATGGCAGGTGATCACAATGCTTACTTTACAAAGGAAATCTGACCTGAAAAGAGAAACCCATTCACTCAACCCTAATGTAATGTTATTCAGTAAAAGTCGAGTATGGTCTGCTAAAAGATCGTGAGTGTGGTACTGAGCATTGGACCCAGGAGCAAGTACTCTACCACTGAACTATGTATATTAGCCCTTGAAGATTTTTAAAAGTTATTCTTTGAAAACTTCATACATTTATAAAATGTATTTTCATCAGATCCATAGACACAACATCCCCTCCCTCCAACTTTCTCAAGTGCCCCATCCTGTTTCCTTCCAAACCTCATGTCCTCTTTTTATTATTGTAACCAATAAATAACCCCTTGAGTCTAATTAGTGATGCCCATATGTGCATTGTGTGGGGCTCTCTACTCAGGCATGAAGAACCTAGCAGCAAGCATGTTCCCAAAAGAGAGCATATCTCTCTCTCTCTCTCTCTCTCTCTCTCTCTCTCTCTCTCTCTCTCTCTCTCTCTCTCTCTCAGAAACCATCCACTCTCAATAATTCCTTCACTAGGAGTGGAGCTTCATCTCCCATTCTCCCATCCCCCATTTGTGCTGGAATTTTTACTGGCTTGATCTTGTGAAGGTCTTGTACAAGTAATCACAGTGGCTGTGAGATGGTGTGTAAGTAGCTGTGTCGAGGGCTTACTACAAGATTTCAACATGAATGTCAGGAAGGAATACAGAGCCATGCTTACATATACTTATCATTTAGAATTTTATATAAGCCATTGCATGATGAAAACATATTTTAGATCACTTTTAAATGATTTACAGCTTTTTATATTTTGTTCATTTTTTGCTGTTTTGCACCAAAGAACTAATCATTTTATATACTTTTTGGTTTCATTTTCTTTTGGAGTCTGGGTCTTATGTAGCCCAGGCTGGGCTTGAACTTACTATATGTCCATAGATGACCTTGAAATCCTAATCATCTTGCCTATGCCTTCCCTGTGCTGGTGTGTATGTGTCCCACCACTCCCAGTTTTTAAATGATTTTTATAGGATAAAAGTTTTTGTAAAAAGTTTCCTGTTAATTTCTTTGAAAATGTAAGTGACAGCTCCTAAAAGAACAAATTCATCAGTGTTTTCAAAATTCACATTAAAATATGTAAAAATATTGCTTTCATCAATTTTCAATTAACATGTGATTATTATGCAGACTTTTATACATTTTTATAACTCCCTTTTCTATTGTTGTTAGCTACTGATGCAAATGTGAAGAATGAAAGTCTCTCATCTGTGCAGCAGCTTGGCATTAAAATGACTGTCAGGTATGTAGGGAAATGTTTCTCCTGTGCATTTCTAGAATTCCTCTACCTGATGGGTGCTTAATAATGTTTAACAACCAACTATTTTGTATACTTTAAATGCAGACTTTACCACTCAGAAAATAATAACGTTATCTTTGAGGATATTGGCACATGATTAAATTACCTCTGGCTATAAATCAGTTACAGTTCATTATTATTCCAAAAGCTAATTAACATGTTCCTCTATGACTATCAGTTTTTTTCCACCCAAAAAAATCAGCGTTGCAAAAACCAGCATGCTATGGCACAATTATACATCTCCTAAAACATGATTTGTTCTAGTTGTCAGGTTCCGGGGAAGACAAACATACCTTAAGGGTAGATTGAGAAGTTCAAATGGATAAACCAAAATTGTCATAGTTTGAGTTTTTAAAACTCATAGATTAATTTTCAAAAGAAGTGAGGACATTAGATCATGAACTGGATAGTAACCTCCTTTTTTTGTTCTTAACAAACTTCATTTAATACAATGTATTTAACTGTTCCTGTAATTAGAGGATCATTGTTTGAATTATATCTAGGAAGGCACTTATGAGATCTATTAAACACTCGAATCTTACATAAATGCCCATTGTGATGAAAATCATGGCATGGATTCTGGATCATCCATTTCTACCAGAGTAACTGTTTTGATTTTGTGACTCCATATACATGTTTTAATAAAAGTATGCTGTCCTGCTCCATTTCCAATGAAATGGAACCTATAGATTACATAAGCAGCCTGGCCACATATTTTAACTCATTGTAATTTCTTATTCATAGGAAGTAAATGGAAAATAATGCATAATGTAGAGTTTGGATGGACTGTGGTATGGTACAGCTGCCATCCTGTAGCGTCATTGCAATAATAGCAGCAACATAACCACTAAATGCACTAGCAGTGTTACCACTAGGAAGGAGACTTCCTAAAATGCAGACCAAGTAAGGTCTTAGGAAGGTTGGAAATGGACCAAACAACACACACATTCCGTATGTCTAAAATATAGGAACTTGGATAAGTATGAGTAGATGTTTGATCCATGTAATTGCCAAGGCATTTCAAGTTATGGTACAACACTGTACTAGTCACAATCCAAAATGTCCAAACCCCTCTCGATATCCAGTATTTATAGATGACCTCCACAGGTACTTCTTGACTTAACATTCCAGAAACCTAAACTCAGTAATCTGTGTTTTAGATTAATTTCAGGCAGACTTCTTACATTATTCCCATCTGTAGTCTACTATCATTGTGATTTCTCAATGCTCTTTCACCACCCTAGAATGTTAACACTTAATGCCGATGATCCAAACATGCTGTAACTGTCAGGAATGAATATTGAGTGCCTTGCTTAATGTAGTCACCCTCGAAGTAGACTCTCTTCAGACCCTGAACTCTCAAGAGAAGTAGACTTTGATGGATGTCTAAAGATGAATGTGCAGTGAAGGGGGTTTTCATTCTGTGTGTGGTTTTTTTTTTTTTCCCTTGGCGGTCTTTAACATAGGTATGGTAAGTTTCTCAACTTGTTAAAAGATGGTGCGGAAAGTGATCTCGCCTTGGTCTTAAAGCACTGTGAGAGATTCCTGAAACAACAGCAGTCGCCGGTAACTTCTTCTCTTCATATCCTTTTTGAGTGGATTTATGCAGAACTGAATTGTCTTCCTATATTTCCAATGTTTTCTCGTAGGATGTGTTAACATATCTGTAATAAGTAATAGCTACTGTGTGATTTGTTACAGTGTATCCTTATAGGATTTTATTCTGTGTTTTGAGCAGACACTATATTAAATTGACTTACGATCCTTAGATTCAGTTGTACTCATGGGATCTTAAGCTGAGGGAAGTGATTTACTACAGACAATTAACATCTCTTTCCAGATAGAGATCCTGAAAGTGAATATTTATGAAAATGTCCGTCTTCTAAGATAACGTCAAAGTTCCTTAACTGTTCCGCAGTGTGCCTGCAAGGGAACTACACAGGCCATGACTGGTTCGTGTCTTCTCTGTTCATCATAATGCAAGGGGATAAAGAGAAGACACTCCATTTTCTTCAGCATTTCTCCAGGCTTCTGACCTCTGCTTTCCTTTGGGTGCCAAGGCTGCATATTTCTGTAAGACTTAAAAATCTGTTTTTAAAGGAGATTTGAACCTGAGAAACACCATATTTAACTTTACTAGAGTATTATCTTGTATATATACTGTGCCCTAATAGTTCTTAGTCACTGTCCTACCAAAATGGTATTAATATAACTTTTATCAAATCTGTTCTTTGACAGTTCCATACATGTATATAATGTATTAGGATTACTCTCAACTCCTCCCATCTCATGTCTCCCTTCCACTCCTGTCAACCTACCCCTTCCTTCCTTCCTTCCTTCCTTCCTTCCTTCCTTCCTTCCTTCCTTCCTTCCTTCCTTCCTTCCTTCCTTCCTCCCTCCCTCCCTCCCTCCCTCCCTTCCTTCCTTCAAGTTCCTTTCCCATATTCATAGCCTTTTGATTTGTTTTGTGATGTATTGGGTTAGCTAAGGGCATCTGTGTGACCACGGGTTTGAAGTTATCCATTGCTCACCAGTTGGTACACAATGGGAAAAATGACTGTCCTTCCCCTAGAACCCATTACCAGTGAGTAGCGCAGCAGGGACAGGTAAGGGCCCCGTAAGCCCCTTCCTGATCCCGGATTGAGCTTTGATAGGCCTGGTGGTGTGGCGGCCTGGTGAATGCAATCCCAGTTCCTGTGAGATATTGATGGCTGTGACTGTGTCATGCACAGAAAATAGCCATCACCTCTGTTTCTGGCTCGTACAATTCTTTAAGCCCTGTGTGTCTTCAGTGATACTTCCTGAACTGTGGAGAGGGTAGTATAAATGTCCTCTATGGTTAACCCCTCAACCATCCCTTCTTCTCTGTGTGATAAGTAGCTATAAGTCTCTCAATTCGTCATTCATTGCAAAGAAGAGATTCTCAGATTAAGGCTGAGATACTATTAAGAATAGTATTTTTCTATGGGTATAAACATAAATATTTAGAAATCAGTTTCATACTATTGTCAGTTCAGCCAAACAACAGTAGTAAATTCCTCCCAGGGATTGTACCAGGTTTGAATACCCTCAGGTGGAGCAGGCCTTGAACACCATCAGAGAGTGGTTGACTACCCTTATAACAGTTGTGCCACTATGGCACTAGTGGGCATGTCTTCCCTGGCAGGTGTACTATTAGGTTTCAGAGAATTCCTGGATGGGTAAGACTAGATGCCTCTTATCCTCCAGCAGCCCATGTAACACTTTGCCAGAATATGAAAAGCAGCCTCCTCGAGCATATTTATATTAGTGCTTTTGAATTTTATGTCTCGAATTTCAACTAAGTTGTTCTTATTTTGAGCAATTACTATGGGGCTGTACCATTTTGAAAGGACATACTGTCTTGGTTTTCATATTGTCTGTGTGTTTGTGATGAGACCTATGCATCTGGAGTTGGGTTATTGGGTGTATCTTTTGATATGACTTTCTGACTCACTCGTGGGGAATAGGCATTTGATCTATATTGTTACCCTGACTTGGAAGGTTTTGGGTCATTTAGGAAATACTTAAAGCTCAGTCTTGTAGCCACTTGGTGCCGACTCATGTGGAATTTAATGGGATACCCATTCAGCCAGGGAAGAGCATAGCTTCCAACTTCACCAGTAGGTTCTCTTCAGGGTGAGTAGTTAATCAGCAAGTGTCCTGATTCAACAGGATTTAGGGTACCACTAGGTAAATCTGTAATGCCACTTCATGTGGGGTAAGCAGATGCTCCAAGACAAGTCTTTAGATGATGATGGGTGCCCAAGAGATGGAGCTGAGGGAAAGATGATGGTTTGAGAGGATCTTAGATTGTTCCTCCAGAGCTAGTAGGTAATTTGATGCAGGTCTTCAGATGTTGGGATTGGAATGCCCTAGGGAGAGGAAGGGGAAGACTCGGCAATTTGGGCAGAGGTAGGGTACGTAGGGAACCTACAGTTCCAGGGTAGGTAGTGTGGTTTGGGTGCCCAAAGGAGAAGGAGGAATGAGAAATCTTACCAACAATGTGTGGGGGTTTGGAGCTTCCACCTATGGAGAATGAGATCTTCCATAGATAGAGGAGGGTTGTAGACCAGAGTCGGAGGCCTACACTTTGCAAAAGCCAGCAGAGTCCTGGGATGGCCTGAATGCTTTTCAATGGGTTCCCTTTGAAAATATAGACTTGGCTTTTTTCTCTTTAAGGTTATCTTACGTAATGATAATGGAGTGAGAGATATTTAATCACAGAAGCATTTTCATGAAATAGAAATATAATAAGCTGAAAGTCTAAACTTAAAGTTGTCATCATTATACATTGTTTAGTGATAAATAATGGACATAAAGGTTTTGAATATGGTTTTGAATATGTTTTAGTATTGCTTTTTAAGAAGCTCTTTGTTTTGTTTTGTTTTTTGGTTTTTCCAAGACAGGGTTTCTTTGTGTACCTTTGTGCCTTTCCTGGGACTCACTTGGTAGTCCAGGCTGGCCTCGAACTCACAGAGATCCGCCTGGCTCTGCCTCCCGAGTGCTGGGATTAAAGGCCTGCGCCACCACTGCCCGGCTGTGAGAAGCTCTTGATTGTTAGGCTATAGTGTAGTATAAGAAAAGCATTTCATAAATAGAAATTGTAATCATATTTTATAGAAGAGAAAACCTGTATGTATACATTTTAGAAACCTATACTGAGGACTTATTGATATGTTACTGTTATTATTGTAATTATTATTGCCATTGTTACTTTATGGTACTAGGTCTTCAACTCTAGATCTGTGCAAACTAGGCATGTCTCTGCTACTGAGCTATTGATACCCCCAGGCCTTGGAAGTAGTGCGTTTTGAAAGAATTTGCTATCCTTTTGAGATCTCAGTGATTACATTATAGAAAAGCACATTACTCTATGTTTTTGTTTATTTATTTATTGCATTTTGTTAAGAGCTTCTACTGGGAGAAAATAAATATGGCATCAGTTCTGCTAAACATCCTGGTAATTTCTCATGACATACTATATGTTGACAAATAAATATTTCAGCAAGAATAAGCCAAGAGGTATGCTTATGAAGTTAGATGGCAGCATTTATTAAGTGTCATTATGTGTGAGTATGTATTTTATATATGTACATGTGTAATTTATATACTCATTTATGAACATATCTACAGAGATCTTGCTTATATATATGTACTGCATAATGAAAGTAGAATCAAAGCTTTATGAAATAAAAACTGAAATTTAACAATTTTTTGCTTGAAATATTGTCATGTAGATAGTGACAAGATTGTTCAGTTAGCATTCTTCACCATAATAGAAAAATTTGTTCACATCCACAGCAGTAGGAAACAATAAATAGCTGCTTTTTTCTGTAATCTGTGACACTCTTTTCTTACTGTTGCGGTGAATTAGAACTTCTAAGTTATAATTGAAACTTTAAAAGATCTCTCGCTTCCACTCTTCTATCTCAACATATCATTTTTAAAACATTGTGGTAATGGATTTTTGGGTAAAATAATTTATTTTCTTGTCAAACATTTTAATGGTTTACCTGTGTGTGTGCATGAGAGAGACACACACAGAGAGAGAGGATTGGGGGAGAGCAGAGGAGCCTAGGGAGCATGCGTGTGAGCACACCTGCTCATCACACACATGCAGAGGACAACTCTTAGAAGTCACTTCTTGACTTCTACTTGTTGAAGCAGGGTGTCTTGTTTCTATGGTTGACTGTGTACTCCAGGCTAGCACCTGTGACTTTCTGGGAGGTTTTTCAGTGTCTGCCTCTTTCACTGCAACTGTGCTGGAAGTGGGATGTAATTAGGGACTGAACTTAGGTCCTCTGCAAGGGTAGTGTGTACTCTGAACTACTGAGCCATCTCTCCAGCCCCTAATGTATCATGTTTAAGCATGGTTTCCTAAAGTTGCCTTTCTTTGAGCCTGTGAACTTTTTAGTAGCAGACATTTTAGTTTTCATAAATGCAGCAATGCTTTGCCTTTCCATAAAGTTGAAAAGAAGCAAGATTCTAGCAAGTTTGATTGTGTTCAGTTTACCATTTGGATGTCAGTTAATACGTACTACAGTTCTGTGTATAGAGTGGAGAGCTGTGTTACTGGAATCCATATCTCAGATCCAGCTCTGTGTAAATTTGTACCCTTTCTGCTTGCTCACCAGGACAGCCAGTGAGTCTTTCTTCATCCCCATCTTCCTGCATTGCTATTTTATTCAGTTTGAATATAACATGTTGACTTTTCATTACCAGCCTGACAGACTAGTGGTTCTTTATAAATGGAATTCTACTAATTCCCTTTTAGAGGTTCTATCAAGGAATATTAATTTATTGTTAATGTCCAAGTAGCCCCATTCCATAGTATAAATTCATTTCACTTTAATAATCTTTTGGATTGTTTCCTCTATGACATTTGTCTTGGGATGGTGCCTTCAATTATAGTTTTAATGCATTGTTTACAAAATGAGACTTTTTTTATTTGCTTCATTTTCTCAAACATTGTGTCAGTGTTTTCTGTGTAGGTTGATAAAATGAGAAAGTCTTTAGTTTTGTGACACTTTATTAGCTGTTAGTAGCACAATGCGCTTGCCTTCTTTAGCTCAAACTTACATTGTTGACATGGCCCTCAAAAGAAAAAAAAAATCAACCTGAGTTGGTCAGGAAAGCCCCACAAGGGTACCAAAACGGAAAAGGCTATTACCATCCTTCTCAGTTGGCTTCCAAAACTAGTTGATAGGACCTACTGCTTAAGATTCCAGTTACCTTCATTGCAAGACACAGAGAAATCAAGTTTGACGTGAGATTAAAGCTTCCTCCCTTATAGCTAGCTTTCATCCTTATGGAAGGTACCATGCAGGCTTCCAGAGAGTGTGTGTGTGTGGGGGGGGGTGAATCAATGGTTTCAATCAGCTGGGACTCCTACAAACTATAACACCAATCTGCCAGGCACGATGTACCCAGTAGTGCAAAAATGCCACAACTCTTATTGGGGTAATCAAGTGCTCTATAATAGGATTCAAGACCTGCCCCCACAGGATTCAAGACCTGTACCCACACCTGGTACCACAAACTTATCAAAACTT